TTGTTAGGCGTACTCGAAAATCATGTGACTCGAAAAGATTGATAGCGCTGCCTGAGAAGTAAAATCAACACATGCTGAATACTTGTGACTAATCTCATGTGGGGCGTGAGAGCACTCGAAATTATGGGACTCGAAAAAACAAGTGTTGCTCGAGAATAGTTGAAAAGTTGAGACTCTCAGAACATGGAGGTTAAGCCAAAACGGTTACCAAAAAATCAATCGAGGAAACAAGGAACGTGGGAAGAGCGGTTAAAGGAAGTTGTGAGTCAAGACCACGTAGCAAATATAGTGGATAGCGGTTATGAGTCAAAAGCGTACATGTACAGAATTAACCGCTCTTGATTGCTCTATAAATACAAGGATTACGGACCTTTACAGAGGTCGGAAAAACTCATACTTGAATTAGCTTCTGAAGCATTCTCTGCCTACACACACATATGGCTCTCGTGCACAAGATCGTTTTTGGGTATGACTGACTCTCGACCACTTTTATTTTCTCTTTTTAGGAGTAGAAGTAGAATAGTCTTCTTGTTCTTCGTTTAATCACGTAGTGTATTCATATACTTTGATCAATATGTTTTCATGTGTAATGTAATTTGACCATTGTACGAAATGAACTATGATTTGCATTGCTAATATACGTGTTGTTCATTCGGTGCATTTAAGTATTTACATACATGAACACTATTGCTTGATAATACTTAAAGAATATTTAGAGACAAGCAATTCTTGAAAGTTTTCACTCTGTCTCTGTTCTTTGCACTGTGTTCCAAATACATAAGAACGTTAACATATCTAAATTGAAACATTAATTGTGCTAGTCCGATTAAAAAAGAATCCTTAAAACAAATTCCACCGTAAACAGATATCTAATCCAAATTAACAATAAATTAGATTGAATTTGAATTTTACATGAACATTCTAAAAATCCGGATCAAACTATTAGAAATGGATTGAGTAGGTTTGAATCACGAGTATTCTTACCTTTGAACATCTTTTGAATATGACAATTGTTTTGCGAGGAAGGTGATCGATATTTATAACAAGAAAAAAGCAAGAAATGCGGATTATTCATTGATCGGAAATAACAAGCATCTTTTCAAATTTTAATACATATGAATTACGAAGTCCCTTCGATCTATAACTTTTTATGGTTTAGACTTTTTTTTTTTGTTTCAATTTTTTGATTCTTTACGCATTCCAAATAATATAAATATTTTTCTAAAGATTTGAAAAACATTAAACATAAAAATAATAGAGAGTAATATAGTTGCATTATGGGAGAAAACATAAACATATTTATTTCTAATTTAAACTAAAATAACTCATAAATTCAATTCCACTTTATTATGATTATTCTCTTACTTTTTCCATTTTAAAAATGTTAAATCCAAATAAAAATGTGACATCCGAAGAAAATAAATCGTTTTTATATAATTCTACGATTTTCTTTAATTATTTTCTTAAAAAATCAAATGCCTAAGGCAGATGCAAAACAAACCATTTTGATATTGTTTGAGATTTTGGTGGTCTCTAGAAAATAATGTTTGTACCTTTTGTCATTAAAAAGCCACACCATAAACACAATACAGCTCCAATCATCGAAACAAAGCCATAAGTTATGTGCATTCCAGTACTATTACAAAAGGCATTCAAAGGAACTTGCTTCGTGTTCCACAATTTCAAATCAACGACAAAATGGTCATTTGAATTGGTTGGTAATTGCAATTTTGCAAATATGGGCACTTAGTTATATATCTATTGGTAAAACCATAGTCGAGAACAGCGGTCATATATACTTAATCCAATGTTAAACAGGGACTTTATGGATAACTCTTAATATTGCTTTATTTCTCTCCAAAACAATTGAAGCACTGATATTGGTTCACCAAAACAACTGACATCTGATTTCAACTTGTACAAGTAAGATTTTGAGGTTTTAAACAAGATTCTAGGGAGATAAGTGACATAAACTTCAATGAGCTAAGTGGAAAACAACTTAATAACTCAGCACACTGGAGGCACAGGATACAAGATTATATAAAAATCACATGGTCCACAATTCAGAGATTAATACAAAAACTCTGGCCAAACAATCAATATACATAATTCAACAAAACTTGCAAGGATCTTCGTAGTTTGCTGTCATTTTCAGCAAACCGCATGACAAAAGAGAAAATTTGAAGTTGGCTGCAAGCTTGGGAATGCATGACAACAGATAGACACTTGTTTTTAGAATTTCTAGGACTGAATTTAAGTATTCACCCCAAAGACAAAACCATTGCTGTATGAAGGAAGATTGCTAGAGGCTGTCAGATTTTTCACAGGTGACCGAAAAGGATTTGGAGTCACCGGATGCGTGATGTGCAGTCCTGCATTACGAAGGACTTGTTTAGCATTTACACACGAAACTTCAGATTGATCAGTGAAGAAGGCAGGCACCCCAAGTGATTTGATTAAATCAAGTGCGCCACCCCAACTAGAATAGCTTTCTAGTCTTGAATTCAGAGCAATGACAACATGTGGAGAAGGTAGGTAGGAGGCTTCCACCTGATAAACACCCCTCACAAGATTCACTCTAACTCTGCTACCAATTCCTGAGGTTGTACCTGACAAATTTATTGGAACTTCTGGTCCCACCATCACTATTTGTACATTTCCCAATCCATTAAGCAAGTGACCTACTTCTGCAAATGCTGGCATCCAATCCAACTCGCCTTCAGGTCCAAGGTAGTGTACAATCACCTCCTTCCCTTTCAGTATAAGGTTCTTTGAACTTATATTAAGAGTAGTTAGTATATGATACACAGTCAATGGATGCGAGAGAATGTCGGCAACAGGACTTGACATCGGTAGGGAGCGAAGGTTGTAGTACTCAGACCAACCAGAGAGAAGAAATGGACTTGAGATGAAATGGTTATTAAATGGAGAGTCATGAGGGTATTCAAATTCATCAATTCCACCCCACAGTTCCTGCATCCCCCCCTTCACAGGAAGGAGACCAAAAGGGCAGTGTGAATAGCAACTGCACTTTCTCCTCCACATACCCTTCTGGTGGATACTTAATGATTCAAGCCACTTACAAGGCTGATCAGCAGAACATGGAAACAAGAAAATCATTATAGCCAGCTCTTCTTCCCTCTCCATCATAGCCTTGTAAAGTCCACACATGCTTTTATGTGTGTCATTCCAGTGTTGCTTCTGGCAGATTGGACTGCAGTAAACAACTGCTCTACACCGGCCACAGCAAAGAGACTGCTCTCCATGGACTTCTTTCTCACACATTGCACACTGTCTCAAGCCAGTACTTGAGTATCCTTTTGAGTCACTGAAAGTGTCCTCTCTAGGTGGTTCTACATACTTGGTTGGGGTAGAGCCAGCACTCACACTACCAGATTTTTCTTCATATGCCTGACCTGGTGGGTGGGAAATGGTAACAGCAACAAGGTCATAACCTCCCTTGGCTACTTCTGGAGGCCACTGAACATCAACAGTCTCTATAAAAGGTTCAAAACACACCACTGTTGAATACTTTGGACCACTTTCCCGGTCAACCTGAAGTAAGGAATGCACCAGAGAAATGGCCTTCATGAATGCATAGACAAATCTTAGCTCTTCAGGTGTAGGATTTCTAAATCGAAGATCGCCGGAAGGTGTGCATCGCACAACATCAATAACCGGAAATCGATCAGAGCCTGATGCTTCCAATGACAAAGACTTTATCATCTTGCGGTTAGATGGGAACATCAATGACTCCACCTCATATGTGACCCTGAGAAGCTCAACATTTGGAACATGAAGGGTCTCTCTAGACCCTGTCACTTTCTTAGCATCATTCTCTGATCTAAACATGTAGAATCCAACATCCCCTCCATCCCCTCCAATGAACTGAACACATGGAAAAGGCTGTTTCTTGCCAGGCCAATCCGAATCCTTTCCAACCCGAATGCCAAACAAGTGCCCCGGACGCAGCCTTTTCCATGGCTCAGTTCTATACAGAGCTGCAGAAGCTTTGTATATAGATTTAATGAAATTTGGAGCAATGCCATCCACTTTCATCATGCATGTCCCAGATCCAGGACCAAGACCAGGACCAGATCCAAACTGCTCCTGAAATCTGTTGAAGAGACTCTTCAAATGCAAATCCATTGTCTCCCCAATTCCTCAGATTATTTTCCCTTTTATGTTCACAATTAACTCTAGTGAAACTAAATCTATTAACTTCAACACTTGAAATTATACAATCACTCTGATCTCAGTCTCACAAAGTATCATAACTCTACTCCACTTCAACAAGCCAAATTCCCGCTATGCACTAGCACTAGACTTATCAAAGCAAAAGCATTTGGGTATATGAGTCACATACAGCTTATGAAATCAGCACCCTTTCAGTTCATTCGACGAACAATAAAACCAAAACTGACAGGACCATAAGATCAATTGTTTCAAATGTTCAATCACAAAACGAAAGAAAAAAATAAATAAAAATCAGAGCTTTTGTTTCGTACCAGCCCCGCAAAATAGTGACGTTGAGCTCCAGAGACTCAATTCGGATTCGTTTCATTTACAGACATTAACTCATAATGATAATGGAATTGACAAGTAAAATGTAACATGTAGGCATTCTCATTTGTGATCTGTGAGCTCGGAATTTCTATATCAAAATCAAAGCCACTCGAAATAAATCAACGGCCAAAATCCATCCATCAAATCAACGGTGATATATTCCAAGAGTCTTCTTATATATATATAAAAAAAAATTAAACTCTAGGCCAATATTTTATATATATGTATATATAGGAAGATTATAATAACATTAATATAACTAATTTAATAACTAAATTTATAAAATCCACATTTAATATAAAATTAGTAGGCGATATAATATTTAATAAAAGTTATATTAATATTATTATAACTCTTTTATATATATATATATATATATATATATATATATATA